CCGAAGCTGGAATCAGATGCCCAGAAGAACCTCCCCACAAGATGAGGCAGGCTGGGTGGGGAGGGCAGTGGAACAGGATATGAGAGATGGGCTGGAGTACCTGCCTAGAGGAATGAGTTAAATGGGTCTCATATGTCTGAGCTTTTAACCAAATGGCAGTGGGGTCCCAAAGCTACACGTGGCCTTTGTCAGCCGTCTGACAAATGATGCCCTTCGTTCTTAGGGACAGGACAAGAGCTCATAGATAAAACTATGGGGCCGCAGGGCACCTACACTCCCGTGCACGCACAACTGTCCCAAGAAGAGCCACTGTCACCAACAGAGCCTGAGCCAGGCCTTAAGGTCAAAGGTCTGACGGGGCCCAGCTTCACTGTCTACCACCCGGTTGGCTACAGCTAACTATTCTGAGTCTCTGCTTCCTCGTGGGTAAAATGAGGATGAGACTAATGCCTGGCCCCCAAGTCCTCATCAGGATCAAGAGAGCACGTCCCTAACAAACGGGTAAACAGATGCTCTGAAATATTACGTCGCTTTTTAGAACCTGTCGTCCCCTGGCCCTACTGCCACCCCACGCAGGCCACCTGGGACTCCTTGTGGGGGGAGCTCCTGCCTCATCCTCAGGCAACACAGATGGCTGTGAGGGGCTGGCAGGGACCCACCTGCCACTGCCAGGGCCGGCCGGGCGAGGCTGCACCAGTGAACAACTACAGCAGCAGAACTGAACTAGCGCCATCCAGCTGCTACGTTTCCTTCTACGAGCATTAGAAGGAAGGTTGACGAGGACTAGAGTCTCTGCCCATCCTTGGCTCTGGTGTGGGTCACAGCAAAGCATCTACCCTCTTGATTCACCGCTGCTGTCAATTAAAAAACCTCTGAGGCCCGTCACAATGGCTTCCCAGCCGCGGGCTCAAGAGTACGGGATGCTTGCAGGCACCTGCCACCTGACATTTGAAGCTCCCGCCGTGTTTTTTTTTTTTTTGCTGTCATATCATTTATCTAGTATTATATTTTTATATCAATCTTTGATTTTCTTTGTATGTTACATACTTTTTTCTCATTAAGATGAGAAAGCGGTTATAATTGTGATCTCATTATAAATTCTGTAGATGAGTTTTTTATTGGGTCTATCTTTCTTTTTTTTTTTAACATCTTTATTGGGGTATAATTGCTTTACAATGGTGTGTTAATTTCTGCTTTATAACAAAGTGAATCAGTGTTTTTATCTGTTTCAGATCTCACTGTGCAGGAGAGACCAGCTGGGTGTAATTGAGGGAAAAGTTGTGTTTGCGGCGGGAAGATCAGAGCTGACCTCCGGTTCAGGCCCAGTGCACCCGATGGTTCCTCCACGGTGTGATTCCAGACTGGTTAGGAAGGTCACCTTGCCCCAAATACACCCTGCTGGGCTGAACCCCTCCTTCCCCTCATGCTTAATCAGAGTAGGATGGCAGCTGGCAGCTATGCATCGATTTTGTAGGACAAATTAATTTAGAAGCAAGTTTCTAAATGTCAGAAAAACCTAACTCCAGATGTTTTGTTATTATCCAAAGATCACGATGAATAAATTGGACTCGTTGCAACGGAATGAAACGTATCACAGAGCATTACTCTTAGAATAATATTTTCTCTTTCTAAAACATAAACGTGCCCTTATTTGTTTTTCAATTAAATGGACATAACACACCCTTATCAATGTTCCAAGTAAATGAACATAATTGACCATAGTACATAAGAACTTTCATTAACGCCTGAATTTCACTTCCCTCCTAACAAACCCCAGGACGAGGATCGGCGTGCAAATAGCTGGTTTGGGTGGTGGTAGGAAGCACAGCGGGTGAGGGAGGTCGGGGACCTGAGAGAGCTGGTCCCTCTGGGGCTGCGCGGAGAAACCAGGCAGAACACACGGCAGAACTGTCCCAATGAGGAAAGCGAGAGCCGAGGCTTTTCTCCAACTTCCATCCCTGTTGCTTGGGGGTCGCTCCTGGACCTCGCCTCCCCGTCCTTCAGCCCGTCCCATGAGCAGGGCAGACTCACACCTGAGGCCAGAGAACGTCACGGATGCTGTTCCCACGGAGCAGCTGGGGCTTTTTCTGGGGGAGGGGACCCTGCAAAGTGGCTGGGGTGCCGACAGCTTCCAGCTGGAGGGACAATCCTTGGTTCTGTCCTCTGCAAACTGTAGCACTCTCGTTTGTGTGGGAGCTTGAAGAATCTGGGCACTTCCTCCTGCCGTCTTGTTGATCGCATCCCCCTCTTCCCACCCGCATCCCGGCTCTGCTGGCTGTACCTGTGTCCACGGCGGAGGCCCGGTCCCAGCCCCACAGCTCGTCTCTTTGCACCTGCTTCCTCCTTAAAGGATCCCACAACCCATGGTTGTTCATGCCGGAGACGGGGTCACCGTGACCCTCCCCCGCCCTCATCCCCCACTCTCCATCAGCCTCCGGTCCAGGGAAAATTGACCTCCTGAGTCCTCTTCTCGTCCGGCTCTGCTCCCCCTGTTGTCACTCTGACCCAGACTACTACCTTCCCTCCACTCCGGATGTGAGTGGCCACTTCCAACGTCCACTGCCCTGTGGTCCACGCCGCACACGGCCGCTCCAGGCACCAAACTCTCTGTCCTCCAGCCTGGGGTCCAGGTGCTCCAGAGTAAGTCCCCAAGTGAATAAGCGAGTGACTAAAGGACTGCTGTTCCTTTCAAACATGTCTGGAATCCACCACCTGCCCCCCTACACACACTACCCTTCAGTGCCTCACAAGTTTCAACTCTTGGCCTAAACGTCACTTACAGATGCTTCGTCTGGCTCTGAGGCCAGAGGAGCTCCAGTTATAACAAGCTGGACTTTCTCATCATACCCCTTATCACAACGGAATTCAAGATTTGTAGAATTTCAGGCAATTCCCGGCAGTCCAGTGGTTAGGACTCCAGCTCTCACTGCCGAGGGCCGGTGCTTCACCCCTGGTCGGGGAACTAAGTTCCCACAAGCTGAGCGGCATGACCCCCCCCCAAAAAAAAAATTGTAACATTTCACATTTGGTAATCATCTGTCTTCTCCCCAAGACTGGAAACTCCCTGGAGGCCAAAATAACTGCAGACTCCCCAGCCCTAGTGCCAAGGATGTAGGCAACGCCGTATCTGGTGAATGGTACAAGGGTGTCAAACTGCATTTCAGGTCGATGTGGCTAGTCCTCTGAGCCAGGGGCTGCGTCCAGCGCTCATGAGACTGGAGTGTTCAAATCAGCTGAGAACCCAGAGCTTCCATCAAGTGGAAACAAGAACCGAGATCGTCAGCTCCGAAGCAAGATGGGACAGGAGTCCGCTGGGGGATGTGGGGGCTAGAGCTCTCAGGCAGCCGGACCCGAAAGCTTGGTTCCTGTTCTGTCACCCATGGGCCGGGGAGGGAGGCTTGGCCTAGACATCAGCTTAGGACAGGGATGGCAAAGCTGAGCCTTAGCTGAGGAAATGGGCTCCTTATCCAGCCCGCGAGCACACTCCCAGCCAGAAACGCAGGTAACAAATTCCAGAGGGCCAGGCGAGTCCCCAGCGACTAGAGCTGTGATGTCCCAGGAAGGCGTGGGGCAACCCAGAGTCTCAGGATGGGGCCCGGATCGTCATGCTCAGCACAGGTGAGGGCAAGTCTGAGAATCCCCTCCGAAGAGGTGGTGAGGCCACCCCAGTCCAAGCTGGACAGGGGTCAAGTTTGGGTCCCCTGGCCCAAGCTCCAATCTGGCCAGGGTTGGGCAAGAGTGACGCCCCTGCAAGAACTGGGAAACTCCTGGATGAGCTTTAACAGGAGAGTCAGAGAAGAAGCCGTGGAGAAACGGACCTGAGCCCGTTCCTACTGGGGAAGGCCTGCGTCCACCACAACCAGTAACTTGTAGGATCTCTGACAACTCCCTGTTTGGTTCAGCGTGCCTGTTTCCCTGCCTCGGCCAGTAGTAGAGCTCGTGTATCAGCTTCCTGTGGCTGCTATGACAACGACCACAAACGGTGTTTAGAACAGCACAAATGTATGACCTTCACGATCTGGAGGTCAGAAGTTTAAAAACAAGGTATCGGTGGGGCTGCATTCCTTCCAGAACTGGAGGAGAAACTTCATGTCCTTGCCCTTTCCAGCTTCTGGGGTCCACGTGCATCTTTGGCTTGACCCCTCCTCCCATCTGTGCCAGCGACACAGCATCTTCTCTCCTCCCTGTTCTCTGCTCGGTCACATCTTCTCTGACCGCCCCACCCCCCGCCTCCCTCTGTCCCTTGTTAAGGCCCTTGTGATCACACGTAGGACCCACCTGGATGATCCAGAATATTCTTCCCCTCTGAAGATTCTTAACTGAATCACACACGCCAAGTCCCCTTTGCCGTGTAAGGAAATATATTCACGGGTTCTGAGGATTGGGATGCGGGCCCCTGCGCCCTTGTCCTCAAGCGAGCAGGAGAGAGAAAGCAACGGGAAGCTTGCACCCAGCTCCCATATTGGAGAATGAGAGGAGGCGTGGCGGGCAAACCCAAGGGGAACCGAGTCATCACAGCCAGCGCAGAGCCTCCAGGAGGGGGAAGCCCAGACCTGAGCGAAGGAAGGGGAAGGTAGGAGGGAGCCGTGCAGAACTGAGAAACGGCACTGCGGGTTAGCCAGCAGGCAGCCTGGGTTTTCCACCTTGGATAGAGGCAGGATTCCGGAGGCACACTCTTCAAGGTCATCTCACCCTACTGGCCGTCATCTCTCCAAATGTTGCTGTGAAACGAGTAGTATCTCATTTGAGGAAGACTTTAGAATCCTACCAGCTTGTCGAGCTATCACGCCCGTTCCCATCCTCTGAGATCCAGACCACATGGCTCTGAATGGAAAGAATGAGACCCACGCCAAGAACTGCAGCGATTGACAAAGCTTCACGCCAGCTCAAGACGCAGCTTGTTGGCATGTAGATTCGTGTCCCTAACCAACCTTGACGCCAAAATGTTGCATCTGCTTCTGCTCCTGTCGTTCATTTATTCATTCGGTTGTGCAATGCCCAGGTCCCTGGCGGCAGCTCTGCTCACAGACCTTTGATCTGCTCCCGGTGAGTTGGGCCTCTTTTCCCACCACTTGCACTGGGAAGAGCTGTTGTAATTGGGCATCGTGGCTGAATGTCTGGAGACCAAATGACAGCACGAGAATTTAACAGGTGAGGTCAACGTATTGTTCCGTTGGCAGATCCAAGAAGTAGGAGGGCTCCTGGCCAGTCCACAGCTGTCCACAGAAGTAGTAGGTGAGACCCGGACAGTCCACAGCTGCTGACCCACTTTTGTTTCTTTTTTTCCTTTCTCTTGTAATAGCTTTATTGCGATACAATTCATATGCCATAGAATTCGCCCATTTAGAGTGTAAAATTCAAGCATTTTTAGTATATGCACAGGGTTGTGCAATCATCACCAAAGTCCTTTTTAGAATACTTTTCATCACCCTAAGAAGAAACCCATCAGCTATCACCTCCCCAATTCTCCCCCCTTCCCCCTCCCCCTCCAGCCCTAGGCAACAACTCATCTAATTTCTGTGCCTGTGGATTTGCTTATTCCGGACATTTCATATAAACAGGATAAGACAAAATGTGGCCTCTTGTGCCTGGCTTTTTTGACTTAGCAGAATGTTTTCAAGTTGCAGCCATGCTGTTGCAGGCATTGGTTCTTTGTTCTTTTTCATGGCTGAATAATACTCCACCGTATGGCTAGAGCACCCTTGTTTCCCGAGTCGTCTGTCGATGAGCACGTGGGTTGTTTCCACCTCTGGCTGTTGTGAAGAAGGCTGCAGCCCCCGCTTGTTGAGATCTACTTGCTCACAGAAGAATTGTGTTTGTTGGCAGCAGCAAGGGCACCTTTGTCCCACCAACTCTAGGCTGGTGACTTTGGGGCCCCTTCTCTGTCTCCCTAGGCAGGAGCCATGAGGACCCCCCCCCAGTTCCCTGTGAAGCACCCCAAGGCTTTCAGTCATCTCTCGGAATTCATGGCCGGCACTGCCTTGCTTTACTGTATGGCCTGAGGATGTACAGAGCCCACGTTCTGCCGCTTGATGGTGTTACATCCTGTTTAAGGATTTTCAGCAGGTCCCCTCTTCCTGGGGGGCCTAACCGTGACCTCTGGGGCTCCTGGGGTGAGACCATTCGGCCCACTCGCTGTCACCTCCAGCCCAGCGGCCCACAGGAAGCTCGGGAGAGGACGGTGGCGTCCACAGGGCCATGGCCGTCTCACCTAAACCACAGTCGTTAGGCTCCGGTCGCCTCGTGCCCTGGACTTCGGCTATGCATGAGTGCTAGCAGCTGTAAATCAGGAATCGGTTTTCATTACCTTGATTAAGACATCATGACGTATGTTGCTGTCCACACCCAAACACTATCATTATAATATTCTTGGAGCAAAACCTGTCCCTGCAGAGTAATGTAAACTGCTCACTGCACTTTCTTCACCTGGATCAAATCCCACTGAAATCGACATATTACTTCCTCTGTTCTCACTGGGAAATTGGTGGGAATCTTACCCGAAAGCCGTTGGCCCACTGGGAATAAAACACTGGCAGACGAAAGGGGAGAAGCAGCTCACTGTGTGCAAATTACCGACACATCCCCGTGCACTCATGCACGCACGTGCACACACATGCACACACACGTGCGGTGTTGACTTGTCTGTCTGGGCCCCCAAAGGTCCCCTCAGGTTACGAAGAAAGGAAGGGAAAGTGGGCAGTGGGTCCTGAGGACCATTCACTGAGCTGACCCGACCAGGGCACGGCTACATGGAGGGTGTTTCAGCCCCACGGACAGAACCATGCGGGGAGGACACCAAAGTCAAAGTAGCCAGAGGTTTGGAACTGGGGGAAGAGAGGTTCTGGTGACTATAGAACACCCTGGAAGGAAAGAGTGGAAAAAACAGGGGTAATTGAAAGGAACCAGCAACTTCACCTAAACAGGAGGACAGATTAGGGGGAAGGCCCTGAAAGTTCAGGAAATGTGAAATGTCCATGGGGAAAAAAAGGCCGTGGAAGGAGAAATCTGAAGACACCTGTTACAGCATCTCCAGTGGGTGAGAGGCAGGTGGGGAAATTAACGTGAAATGAAGAGACCCGGAGAGAGAAAATAGGGAGAATCCTTAGAAGAAAAAATTAAGTGCTGTGAGGAGCCTGGAGAATCTGTGAAAACACTGAGACCAGGGGAGGGAGTAGGAGCCGGGCTGGAGACCTCACTCTCCAGGGCCGTCTGCTTTCCACCCGGAAGCGGCATCTATGCTGCACTCCACGTGGCCACGCAGCTGCTCTCACACTTGGTCTTCACAGTAAACCTGTAGAGGGGGACTCCTGACATCCCCAGGTGGAGGTGAGAGGACCAAGCTTGCACGCAGAACCCAGATCAGCCCAGGTCTCCTGGCTGCACACCCCAGTCCACAGACGGGGCCCTGGAGGGGAAGGCTTGGTGAACTGACAGCAGGGAAGCTGCCTCAATGCCCACCTGCCCCCAACTGTGCCCTGTACCACTGCCCAGCCGGGTCCGCAGCCCGCAGTGAAGATCGGTCTGGGGTGTAGCCTAGCATCAGGCTTCCGGAAAGCTCCCAGGGTGAGTCTGATCACTGCTGAGATGAGGCTGCACGCTGCTGCTAGGGCAAGGGAGGTTCCATCCTCCTTCTAAAGGCGGCCCGGCAGGCCAGTCACCAGCTATTCACAATTGTAAAAATATTTAAAGTCTGCAGACCGTGCCATCTGGTCATTCGCGGGACGCTACGTTTTAAAATGAGCTTCAAACCAAAGGCCAAGCAGGGAGGGTCCGCAGCCAGGAGCGAGGATGGGGCTGGGTGAGGGCGGCGGACCTCAAGCCACCCTCCTGGAGGGGCAGGTTCAAGGTGAGCCACTCCCACGAAGGCACAGCACCTGCCTATCAGGTTAGGCCAGTCCTGGGAAGCCCAGACAGCCAGAGAGCATCTCGCCTGGATCAGCTGGGACATGCTGCGGGAGCTAACTTATTATGGGGTGGATGGGACAGCCGGAGATGGAGTCAGCCCCCCAGGGCTGAGCCTCAGCTGGGCAGAGACCCCCCGAAAGAAAGCCTGAGGCCAAGGACTACCTCCTAGGCCCTCGCCTTTTAAACCCTTGCCCCTGGGGCGTGGCTAGATGAGAGCAGCCTCTGGATTAAGTCAGCCTCCAGGCGCTCACAGCATCTGGAAGAAATCTAACCCCTTAGACACGGGGAAGGAGAGTGTCTTCGCGTATGAAAAGACCAGCTGCGCCTGGTCTGGTTGCTATTTTGAAATTAGTCATCCCATTCAACCACAGATACCTTCCATCAATCAGCTGCAGTTACTGAGTGCCCAGTGGGCTCTGGTCCTGCCCTTAATTGTGGCCTAGTAGCCACTCTACTCATAGCTGGGCCAGAGTCCCTTTGTTGCCCGGGGTGAGCCCCTGCACCTTGGCCACAGGGAACTTGGCCCCCTGTGCTGACCTTCTGGGATGCCTTTGGGGTCTCTTCCACACCCCACACCACCACCCCAGCTTGCACCTGCCTAGGGGACAGGCAGTGGGCACCGAGGGCTCTGGAGCTGGGCCACTCCCAGGACTGGTCTGACCCAGGTCTCACCCTTCCTTCCCCCAACTTATTTTTCCAAACTGCAAAGCTCCAACCGACTTCCAAAGTCACTCATTTTACAGAGAAAACACATGGAAATGCTAACATGGATTCAGATCGAGTGAAAGCCAAGAAAAGAAAACAAAGGAAAGGAAAAAGCTCTTCACGGCTCCACCAGCGGCAGCTCTGCGTTCTCCCTGCTTCATGGCGCATCTGCCCCGGTTCCAAAGGGCTTCCTCTGGGGGGCGAGTGGGGCTTCAGAGTTGCTGACGCACCAGTTTCCTGGGGCTTCCATCTCCATTGTGGACCGAAAGAAAAGTGGTAAATGCGGGAACCAGGAGGACACCCCACTTTCCTGAGTTTACCAGCCCCGTTTAACTCAAGGATTCTCAGGCTCCTGGGGGGTAGCAGAAAAGAAGGCGGAATTTCTAGTCACCAAATGTATGTTCATGTACTTTTTTAATGTCTTTGTACCCAGGAGTCTTCATTTGATCTTGGTCCATGGAAAATGTTAGGATTCAGTTCAGTTGAATATAGCAAAGACCTGACAACAGTGTCTTAAATGCACAAAGGTTTAATACTCTTCCGTAAAAGAAGTCTGAAAGCAAACATTCCAGGGCAGATACGGCAGCTTCATGAAGTCAACAGACCCCTGTGCTGCTTCTGTTTTTCTGTCCTGCCACACGTGGCTTCCCTTGCCAGAGTCAACTCATGGAACAAGATGGCTGCTGGACCTCCAGCCGTGGCATCCACATTCCAGGGAGTGGAAAGAAAGAAGCAGGGGGATGTGAGAGAAGTGCCTCTTCCCTTTGGAGGAGACTTACCAGAATTCCCACTTTTCTATGGACATCTCTTTGGCAGAATATCACATGAGGGCCTGGAGGCTGGAAAAGGCTGGAAAAGGCAGTCCTTTAGCTAAGCACATTGCCACCTCAAATAAAATCACTTAGAAGGAAGGGGAGGGAGGGTGGATGTGGGGGTGGGTACCAGCAATCTCTCACAGATGCCTGTTACCCTGCTGAAAAGATGTAAATGTGATGGTCACTGCCGGTCTCTCCTTTACGTCCATAGGAAACATGTGAAGAGGATCTAAGTTGCAGATGATGCTGGCGTCGTTTTCCTAGGTGTATAAGGAGGTTGATAAAAGCTCGAGCAGACGGAGAGAGGCGTGGCAAGATTTAACCTACATTTTTTTTTTTTTTGCATTGATGGAGTTTCTGCATCCATGGCCCCATCTGTTGACTAATCGGTAGTGACCAGGTGTTTATCAGCAGTTACTTTGTGCAGGTGACCCTGGGCTTGGAGCTTGCAGCATTGGTGGGAGCCTTAACTTAAGTCAGACACTTCAGACTGTCCTCCCCACCCCATCCATCAGCTGCAGCTGCCGCAGCAGAATACTGCAGACTGGGTGACTTCAACAGGAGGAGGTCATTCTCTCATGCTTCTGGAGGTTGGAAATCCCAGAACAAGGTACCAGCAGGGTTGGTTCCTCTGAGGCCTCTCTCCCCGGCTTGTAGATATCATCATCTCCCCGTGTCCTCACACTGTTCTCCCTCTGTACATGTCTGTGTCCTAATCTCCTCTTCTTATAAGGACACGAGTCAGATTGGATTAGGGCCCACCCTGATGACCTCATTTCAACTTAATCACCTCTTTAAATACCTTATTTCCAGTAAGGTCACATTCTGAGATACTGGGGATAAAGACTTTCAACACATGAATTTTCAGGGGACGCAATTCAGCCCATAACACCCCTCAAAGCAGGACTCCAGTCACCATTCTCTATTTAAGACCCTGCTAATAATTTAGTGGACCTACACGTCAGTATTTCCTCAGGTTATTTCTCCTACTCATCTGTGTTTCACCAGAGCAGAGAGACATTAATATCTATTGCAGATGATTGGTTCCTGGAAGCTCTAAGGAGCAGAGCTTCAATGCCTCAAAAGGTGATTGTGTTCCACAACCAGGCTTTTGGCGTTTCTGGAAAAACAAATGGACTAATTTTAGGGACCCTGTCGTTTTCCTAGGTGAGTGCAGGAGCTCTCATTTTGGACCATTTATCCTGAAATAAGTACTAATCTTCCGTTCCTTGAGGCCTCTCAGATCATCCAGAGCCCTGGGTCTGCTGCATTTTTTTTTTTTTTTTTTTTTTTTTTTGCCGTACGCGGGCCTCTCACTGTTGTGGCCTCTCCCGTTGCAGAGCACAGGCTCCGGATGCGCAGGCTCAGCGGCCGTGGCTCACGGGCCCAGCCGCTCCGCGGCATGTGGGATCTTCCCGGACCGCGGCACGACCCCAAGTCCCCTGCGTCGGCAGGCGGACTCTCTACCACTGCGCCGCCAGGGAAGCCCAGGTCTGCTGCATTTTGACGGCATCTTGACCATTTGTTTGTTTGTTTGTTTGTTTGTTTGCTTTTAATGCAAAGCCAGTCCCGTAGGTGGACTCCAAGTTTACAGGGATAGGAACACAGCTCACCTGTGCAGGCCCAGGAGACCTGAAATCGAAGGTGGGCAACAGAATCACGCCACCGTTTATGCGTTGCAAATGCTGGGAAGGAAATGGATGGCAGCCGTATTGCAGGCTGAGGGAGAACATCCCACACTCCACGACTTTGGGGCCAGGTGGTACCACCACCAGTGTCTGCAAAGACAACCAGAGCTGGGAAAGGGAAAGCCAAGTGCAGGAGCAGGTCGGCCCAGTCCTGGACCCCAGCACTGTGGCCTCCGCCACCAAGTTCACCTTCCGATGAGAGGCCCAGCTTTAACCTGACGCTGATGTTTCATCGCAGGATGGAAGAGGACTTTCCCCAGCAGTCTGGAGTCAGGCAGTGGCTCTCTGCAGCCTTTCCTACCCTTGGAGAGAGAGCCCTAGAGTCAAAAGTCTGAGTTCTGGTTCTGAAGCTGTCCCCGGGCTGGACTGCTTGGCTCCCACCTAAAAGGTGAGCAGCTGGACCTAGAGACCCCCAGGCCCCTGTCCGTC